CTTGGCATATACATTGTACAATGTAAGAGATAGGTTCTTAGCGCTAAAAAATCGATACATTTTTTAAAAAATCAATAATCGATAAAGCCGATCAAAAATCGATAAATTCATTTTTTTTTCCTACGATTTCGTTCAAACTCGGTATGTAGGTTATTTACATCATGACGAGCTCAACGATACCTCATTTTTTTTTTTTCTACGCCACTGCGTTTAGCGAAAAAGCGAAAGGAAAAATGAAAAACAAAAATCGATTTCAACACAAATTTTAAACTAAAAAACTCCCTCAATTTTCAAGCAATCTAATACAAACTTCACTCAATTGTAGCCAACAATAAATTGATTGTTTAACAGTCATTTAACTTGATAACTGAGTCCACCCATATAGTGAAAACCCGCGTAAATAGCGAAAAATGGCGATTTTTACTGGTTTCTTTTTTATTTTTCGTTGATCTTTCAACCAATTTTCATCAAACTTAACAATTGCTTTATAAATGTATCCTCTTTTACATCCCTGGTAGCACACTGACAAATTGAATTTCAAAAACTCCAAAATAATTGTGGTCTGAAGTGGGTCTTCATGTTGCCTGTTTTACCCCTTCATGTCCTCGGCTAACTTCGATTGAATAAATACAGACTACTTCTGTTATATCAGTAACTGCATTAATTCAAAATGTTTTTTAATGAAAGTACTTTAAAGTAATTGAAGAAGATAGACTCTGTTACATCTAAACATGATGCTGTTTTTGCTCCATTCTAATTGAACGCTTTTTTCTGATCGACCAGCTGGGTATGACTGCTAGTAATTTATCGTTAAAAAATAAATTTTATAAATTTATAAATAGGTGCCTTTTGAATAACAAAATTTACTTAAAAAAAGATTTTGAAAGTCATTTTGAATTATTGAACATGTGTTTTTTTTTGTATATTTAAATGATTTATATCCGGCTTAAAGTTTAAATATTCATTCCTTTGTTTTAAAAAAGGTTCCCAATAGGATGTGAATCAAATTGCAAGAGTTTGAAAAAATATGAAAAAAAGAAAGAAAGATATAAAAAGAATATAATTTGAATAATAAAAACAATTTTTTTAAACAAAACATTTGAATTAGAAATTAAAAAAGATTTAATGATAATTATTGAGAAAATTATTTTTTATTTCAAAATTTTTTTAGTTAGAGGTTAAACAAGATAAAATGACAAATGGATAATTTTTATTTTATCTATTGATATAATTTGAGATTCATTGGTTTGCAAATAATGATAAATTTAACATTTTCGGATTTATTGTCCTCATCTTTGTCGCAATATTTAAAAAAATTAACATTTTTGTTCCATTCGTTTTTTTTCACATCCATAGATGTCCTGTATTCGACAATGGCAAAAGTGGATAAAATTTTAAAGATCCAGTTTGAGGATAAAAAAAAGTGTTTCAAATTCAATTTTCCAGGTTAAGGCATCTGAAGAATGAAAGCTTAGGAATTAACAGGAGATAATTATAACTGACATCTTTTATAAATTAAAAGATTATTGTGGAAAAGAACAGTGAACCCCAGTGAGCGAAATAAATGTTTCAGTTCGAAATATGAAAAAATAACCATTTCAAAAAAGAAAACAACTACGTAAAATTCTTATAAATCTTGGAATGACATCAATCTTGTTTTAAAAGAAATCAATTTGAAAAAAAAAATTAAGAGGCATCGCTATCGAGAATGAAATTGGGGGATTAAACTGACTTCAAATCGAGTTATACTTAAAAAAAAACCCAAATGTAAAAATGTCATTTTGTAATTCTGAAAATCCGTTTAAAAGAATGGGATCAATTTCTCTTATTTTTGACAACCTTTTCAACAAATCTTCATTTTTTGGAATGTAAAGATTTCTAACAATATTGATATGGATTCGCTTTTTATATTCAGAATGCAAAGAAAAAATAAACATTTACAAGAAAATTGTTTAAAATAAAATTCTATTCAATCGATAGACTATAACGATTGAAAACAATGTTTTGTTTGAGTTTGGGTTTGACCAATTTATAAAAAAAACTAATTAAGACATGTATCCGTCAACCTTAAAAAAATAACACACAGTCAATTTATTTTTCAGTATTTATGATGGTCGATACTTGATCTAATTAAATTTGCAACATAATTTGGCAAATGTTAACTAATTAGAAGTTGTTATAAAGTGACAATGGTTTAAGTGTTGATTCAAATAAACAAAAAAATTTAAAATTTTTATCTTTGAAATTTTGCGAAGCAGTATTATGGTGGAATTGTTGTTTATTTAATTTTTGTTTTTTTTAATTAAAATTTAACAAAGAATCTGAAAATCAAATTTATTCATTAAATAGACATTTTTAAATACGGATAAAATTTTTTCAAAATTGATTTTATTTATCGAAAAAGTAAATAAAAAGGATTTTATGCTTCTTTAATTCATAATTAGAATTGTGGTTTGTTTATATTTTTCGTTTAAAAAATTTACACAAAAGATAAAATTAAATTTATTTTGAAATAGTGAAATTTGAAGTCAAAGAAAAAAAAATGAAAAATATGCGAATATTTTTCTTTGATAATTTTTCAGATTTTTTGAAAAACAAGAAGAGAAAAATAAATGAATTTCTTTTTGGTTTCAGAAACATCAAACGCCAGGTTTCATAAACATTTTGTTGAAATTGAAGAAAATCAACATTAAAACAAAAATATAACAAAGAATATAAAAAAGAAATTTATAAAATTTGATTGTTGAAAAAAACAAAGAAATGAAGAAGAAAATATCATATAACAAAAATGTTTTTTAAAAATAGAAGGATGTTATAGGATATATATGAATGAATATAACTGAGCAAATATATTTTGGGCTATTGGGGGAGAAAAAAGGAAAAAGAAAATTTAAAAAAGCAAGGAAGAGACAATTGAGGTTTTCTTTTCAGAAAAATAATGAGAATGAAAAATTGGAAAGAAACAAAAAAATTTTTCTTTATCACAAAAAGCAAAAATAGGAAAATTAACGATATAACATACTGGTGAGATTGAGTAAATGGATGGCAGAAGAAAGTTTAAAAGAAATAAAGAAAGAAAGATTTTTGGAAAGAAACACAAGGCACAGAAAAAATAAGAAAAATTAGAATCGATAAATAGATTTGCAGGACACGATACGAAAAGAAGAAATGGAAATGAAAAAAAATTAAATTCAGACGATAAATAATGGTTGTAGAAGATAAAAGGGTCAGAATGAAAGAAATTAGAAATTTTTAGATGTTATAAATGTATTGTTTTTAAATACTTTGTTTTGTTATACTTTAACATTATTTTTTTATTTGTAATTATAATGGAATTATTTAGAATCCCGTATACTAGAAATAGCCATGAAATGTTCGAGGTTTTCCTATTTAAATTTTCTAATGGATGTTAATTCTTCAGTTAATGATTTATAACTTTTACAAAAATAATTGTACGACAATAAAACAAAGAAAAAAATTTATTTATCAGCATCATTAAATATTTGACAACTTTAACATAAACATTATAAATAATAATCATAAATATGAAAATGTTTTTTTTATTTTAAATAAAACGGATTATAAAATGAAAAAGGATTTTTCCATTTAACTGAAATGAAAAAAAATACTTAGAAAGAACAAAAATAGAATGACTGAAATCAGGAACTTTCTGACGACAATAAAAGATTTTTCCGAAAGAGAATTAAAAAAAAAAGTGCTATGCAAACTTAAAAAAATATATAGAAAAAATTTTTGCCTTTTCTTATTTTCTTTGTTTTGAAAAGAGAATTTTTTTTTTACTGAATGACAAATATAATTTTCATCTATTGTCCATTTTATCAAGAAAACAGACGTCTTTAAAAAATCTTAAAAAAAGAATTAGAAAAGAAACAAAAAAGAATTTAAATATAAAATTCAATTTCTTAGAAAGAAAATAACGTTTTTTCTCGCTGAAAAAGAAAGAAAGGATTGAAAATTTTTCCGAATTAAAGAAAAAAAAAATGAAAAAAAAAACGAAAAATTTTGAAAAAAGAAAGAAAGAAAAGAAAAGAAAAATGTTTTCCTGTTTTAAAAAAAAGAGAAAAGAAATTGATAAGCGGTGAAAACGGTTCAATCAATGTTGAAAAGAAATGAAAAAGAAAAAATATTATGTTTAGAAAGAAAGGCAATAAAAGAAAGATTTTTTTCACTGTTCAAAATTGAAGTGGTTGTTTCATTTTTTGTTTTGAAAAAATGACAGAAGGAATTTTTTAAATGATGAAAATATGATTGTAGAAACAAAATTGAAAAACTATCTTGAACAAATTCCTCTAAAGATAATGAGGAAAAGATTGCCTTTGTTTTAAAATGAAAGAAAAATGAAATGTAAATGAAAATTCAGAAAAGATGGAAAAAAAGAAAAAAAAAAGAAAATGTTTGTTTGAAAAAAAAAAAAATGAAGAAAGAAAAGAAAATAAAATAATAAAAAAAAATAACGATGGAAAAGACAAAGAAAAAAAAAAAAGAAAGAAAGAAACAGAAAAAAGGAAAAAAGAAAAAAAAAAAAAAGAAAGAAAAAAAAAAATCAAAAAAAAAAAAAACGGGAAATGAAAAAAGAACGAAAGCGAAAAAAGAAATGAAAAAGAATGAAGAAAGAAAGAACAAAAAGAAAAAAGAAAGAATGAAATTAAATGAAAGAAAAAAAGGAAAAAGAAAAAAAGAAAGAAAGAAGAAAAAAGAAAAAATTTGAAAGAAAGAAATGAAAATAAGAAAAAAAGAAAAAAAAAGGAAGAAAAAAGAAATGAAGAAAGATAAATGAAAAAAAAAAAAGAAAGAAAAAAAAAAAAGAAAAAAGAAAGAAATAAAGAATGTCAATCAAAAGAAAGAACGAAAAACAAAGAAAAAAAAAAAAGAAAGAAAAGAAAGAAAAGAAAAAAGAAATTTTATTGAAATTTTAAAAAAAAAGAAAGAAATAGAAGAGAAAACAAAAAAAAAGAAAAAAAAAGAAAGAAAAAAAAAAA